AAAAAAAAATATAAAAAGTTATGGAGTGCAATTTCATCAGCAAAACTTTTGGCTAATTAGCGTAAAATTTATCCAAAAAAAAAGATTTTTTAACTGTGAGACAACAGTTCCGCGTCTGAACACCAGAATGAGGTCAACAACAAAGAAAAAAGAATGTCAAAAATTAAACACTGAACTGTCAAATTAACGCTAATGCACTGTGATTCCGAAAAAAAAAAATACTCCTGTGGCAGAAATAAAAAAAAAAGCTCGCAAATTTTGGTATCGGACCTCATTTCTGACTAAAAAGCATTATTCCGAATGAGTGGCTCCCACAGAATTGCTATCTCTTGACCATCCTGGCAACAGAGTAAACGGTTGTCAAATTTGTTCAAAATTGAAACATAACTTATGCATAATACGAAAACTTGGTGCGCCTTAAAGCTGAATTTAAGACTTTTAAGCAGAGAATAATCCTCTAAAATTTCAGCATCCTAGCTTGGCTGGTTCGCGAAATCGCCGTTTCGCTATAAACGTATTCGACCTGCCTTTACACTTGATGCTAATCCAAACTCAATTTAGTTGTGCGAACTCCCGTGTAAATGATAGATATTCTCACGAAATCACAGCTATCCTTTTCTGACTAATTCTCAAATTAGCGTTGTACCAACGACGAATTTAACATGTTCGTACTCGTGACACAGGCAAGCGTGATAGCTGAATTTGAAAACTGCAGCTCACACATACGCAGAGAACACCAGTTTGAAATTTTAGTTTTCCATCTTGTCCGATTCTTACGATCATTTTATTTCCAGAAAATTTGACTGCTTTCTTTCCAGTACCTATATGTGAAAGTCAGGCGTAGATGGACGTTGATTTCAAAAAGGGAGGGTCGCATACGGGGCAGAAACAGCCTTGTAAAATTTCAGCTTCTTAGCTTTCCTGGTTCTCGAGTTGAAGGTGGGTGACAAACTCCACACACATGCACACACAAACACGAACAAACATACATATAAACACATATACACACAAACATACATATACAAAAAGACGCACACACAAACAAACACACATATACCCAGTACTCATACACTCACACACACACACATAGAAAAAAATACACACAACATACATACATGCACACACACACACACATACACACACACTCACACAGATACACACGTATACAAGCATCCACACACAAACACACACGTACACTCATGCGCACACATTATCTGAAAAATTTGCATACTCAGCAGAGCGGCGTGCGCAGCGTCGGAGTATAAAAGGAAAGGATTTTCTTTGGAAGCATCCAGTGTTTCGTTGGTTACGAGTACCAGTTGGCTGCTAAAAATAGCTTGCAAAGCGTGCTCTTTCGTGAACGAAGATGATAAAGTATGCAAATTTTTTTATTCTCTTGTTCTCTCTTCCTGTTACAGAGGGATGGCCCAGTTTTTCGGGAACTTACAAATCGGTGGAGTTATTTTCCCTCATCTGTTCTGATGCTTCGGCCATTTAGCTAGCTCCAGCAGTCTGGATATTTGTATGCATTTCCGAAAAATGAGCTGGAAGATGACGCAGGCGCCTTGATCCACAAATTTCTCTGTTCTGGGAAAATGGAGTTTGCAAACGCTTGTGCACAGCTTACTTTGGGAATAGCCGAACAAACATAGGCGGATCCAGAGGGAAAGGGCTCTTTTGCCCCCTCCCTCCCCCCCACCTCCTGCGGCACAGGCACCAGGGCTGCAAAAGTCCAGGTCTAAAACTAAAGTAACTCTAAGTAGCAGTGTGTTACAACTCTATTCCTAGTTTTTGCATAGTTCCAGGATGGGAGGAGGTTTTCTGCCGCTCTCCGCCCTCGCCCCAGTCTCTCCCCAGGAGTCGATCCTGGATCAGCCTATGCGAACAAAGCAGACAAATGTGAGGAGGTTCCACTCGGAGCTCTCTGGCAGTGAGCAAATAAACGTATGGTTGTGTCAGCGGCGGCGGCGGCCTTCAATGTGCGCGCCCTCTCGCATTATGCTTTTTTTTTTCTTCCGGATTATTGCAAATTAAAAAAAAAACGCATTATATATGTGTGTGTTTGTGTGTGTGTGCGTCTGTCCATCCGCGAGTATCATTTCAAAAATCGCTGGGACTTTTTTTCTTCCCCAGTCAAATTTCGCAGGCGCCGTCGCGATCCTTGCTCCAGTCGGAATTCTTCTCCCGATGGGCAGTTTCATCTTTTCGGAAAGGGACAAAGAGGAGCGAGCGTGCGGAGGGCCGCCAAATTTTTTTTTTTTTAAATGTAAATTTTGAATGTATTTGAGAGTGGCCGCAAGCAGTGGAGTGACCACAAGTGACCGCAAATATTTGGTGTGTGGCATTGGGTACTTTCAGGATTTCTGACCAGAGCTACCCAAACAGCTAGTGCAAAAACGGAGGAAGCAACTCGCTCTGTTACGCCAGGATTGCCCCATCGATGTGTGCATCGGCTGAGTTGCAGCGTCGGG